CGAGAATTCCCCGGGGTTAAACCTTTCACTGCAACATTCTGCTCCGTACGTGACTTTAATAAGTACCATTAAGCAGTTACTCTGAGTGCATATTCTCCACACTGGCGTCCGGTGTGGTTAACAAAGAAGGCCTGGGGTGAAGGCCGGATGAAATGGAGGAGGCCACTGCGGGCAAAGATTAAATGGAGTGTGGATGGCTTTGTGTCCTACCCCCGGGAGTTCCCCATCTCACCTCGTGAGGAGTAGCACCTGAGGCCTTAACTGGAAGTTGATGGAAGCTTTAACTTCGAAATAAATAAATAAAAACCCAGAACACAACATCTCTTTCAGCTTTGATGGTGTTTTCCAAGGGCAGGAAGGTTGCAGGAACTGGGCATGGCTAGTCTAGTGAAGAGAAGGACCAGGGGAGACAGGATAGCGGTGTTGCAATATTTGAGGGGCTGCCCCAGAGGGGAAGGGGTCAAGCTATTTTCCAAAGCACCTGAAGGCCAGAAAAGAAATAATGGATGGAACCTGATCAAGGAGAGATTCGACCTAGAAATGAGGAGAAATTTTCCGACCGTGAGGACAATCAACCCATGGGACAGAAGTTGCCTTCGGAAGTGGTGGGAGCTTCATTACTGGAAGCTTTCAAGAAGAGACTGGACTGCCACCTGTCAGAAATGGTGTAGGATCTCCTGCTTTGTTGGCAGGGTTGGACTAGATGACCTACAAGGTCCCTTCCAACTCTGTTAATCTGTTAATCTTAACCTTCGGTTAGAGATTGATCTAGCAGACCAGCCGCTGGAGTGGAAGACCAGGCTGAAGGATTTCTTCTATACATCTAAAGCAGGCGTGTCAAACTCGAGTCAGGGTTGTGTTTGATCTCAGGGGGCCGGAGTGAAGGTTGGGCGTGGCCAGCTCGACATCACTCCTGTTGGGGGCGCCTGTGGCGGCCCAAGTGCTCTGCCAGCGAAAACAGGCTCCTAAGCTCCGTTTTCGGCTGGGACAGCCCCCTTCAACCCTCTGCCAGCAAAAACTGAGCATGCAGCCCTCCCAAGCTTCATTTTTTCCTGGCAGAAGCACCACAGGCTGGTCCTTTTGTCAGGGTTCCAAATAGCATCCAAAAGTAAATCAGAGACCAAGGCAAAGTATTGCTCAAAGTTCCAATTTATGAAGAGAGCCACCCGAAAGCTTCCTGGTTTTCCCCACCCAGTTCAAGATCTTGCCCCCACACCTACAAGTTCCCATCACATGGTCCAATCTCCTGCTTGTCATGCTGGCAGTTTTACCCATCAAAGAGAAAGGATGACCTTGGCTTTTCAGAAAGAATGTTGTTATGGCTACGTAGCATCTAACTCCGTACAATCTCACCCACCCATTTTCCCACAATAGAAAATGCGTAGCACAATAATAGAAAGTGTGGCAGGCCAAAGATCCAAAAGAAAAGATGGCTGCAGGCCTGACACCTTCGCTGTTTCCAAGGGGGGCCCCCAGTCCAGATCTAAGCACCCCGTGGGCCAGATCCGGCCCCCAGGCCTTAGGCGTGACACCCCTGACCTACGGCAAGGGATCAGAAGGAATGTAGGAACCATGTTCTACATGCTTTCTCTGTCCTCTTTTTTTCTCGTGAAATCCCAGTACGGTTCTATTAATGCCAGAAGTTGCAATTAAGGCAAGATCTTCTGAGGCTGATTCCCCACCCCACCCCCCAACTGTTGTTCTGAAGCATTATGCCGAGAGGAAGGCAGGCAGTGAATGGTCCTCTGGCTTAAAGAGATGGCCCACTTAACCAAGCCTGCCCTTAATTTGTTTCAGTCTGAATAAAATATAATTTGCTTTTTTTTCCCTTCCCTTTTCTTCTTCATGAAGCAAAAGTTTTTCCACTCCTGAATGTCTGTAATTGAAGACGAGTCGGTAATCTCGCAAATGTTGCTCTTCAGAAAATATAGCATACCGCGAGAGGCCCAAATATGAGACACCAATTATAACTAAACAAGAGGTCAAAGTTGAAAATGGGGCTAGAAGATGCTACCATAATCAAGACTCAAGTAAACACCCTGGGCTACCTTCCATACAGGCTCTTAAGATACAAGTTAAAATACAAGTAGTTTTTGGAATGCAAGATGCACTCTCCCCCCCCCCCTCCGCAAAAGAGGGTGAAAATTTGGGTGTGCCTTATATACTGAATGTAGCCCCAGCCACCTTCCGGCACTTATCCTTTGGCCTCTGCCTCCAGGATTTTGCCTCCTTGCAGCAAATAGTCTTTTTCAGTTTCAGCTTTAGCATAGACTGATTAGCACAAACAGCTGATTGTCGGTTGGATCGGCCTCCCAACCATCAGCTGTTTCAGGCTGCAGGGATTGCCATTGCCTATTGCCGCCTCCACGTGCCCCATTTTTGGCCTCCGCATACCATTTTTTTTACCCCTGTGCGCCCCGTTTTCGGCCTCTTCATGCCCCATTTTCTGCCCGATCTGATCCCCACTGCCTGAAATGGGCGGAAAATGGGACGTGTGGACACCAAAAATGGGGTGTGCGGAGGCCGAAAATGGGATGCGGAGCCCAAATATGGGGCCCGTGGAGGCGGCAATAGGCAATGGCAAGTCCTGCAGCCTGAAACAGCTGATTGTCGGGAGGCTGATCCAACCGACAATCAGCTGCTTGTGCTAATCAGGCTGTGCTGAAACTGAAACAGGCTGTTCGCTGTTTTCTGCAAGGAGGCAAATTGCTGGGAGGCAGAGGCAGATTTTTTATACTTCTTTTCCTCCCCAAAAGCTAGGTGTGTCTTATATTTTGGAGCGTCTTNCTATTCTATTTCTGTTCTATTTCTATTCCATTTCTATTCTAGTCTACCCTACCCTACCCTATTCATTATTCTATTTCTATTCTTTCTATTGTATTCTACCCTACCCTACCCTATCCTATCCATTTTTCTTTTTCTATTTCTATTCCATTCTTTCTATTCTATTTATTCTATTCTATTCTTTCTGTTCTAAGATGAACATTACAGGGAGTCCTCCAACTTATGACAGTTCATTTCATGACCATTCAAAAACTTACAACGGCCCTGAAAAAAGGGACAAAACTGTTTTTCACAGTTACGACCTTCCTAGCAGCCCCATGAACACGTGATCGAAATTCAGGTGCTTGGCAACTGGTTCGTATTTATGACCGTTGTGGTGTCCCAAGGTCAAGTGATCCCCTTTTGCGACCTTCTCGCGAGCGAAGTCAATGGGGAAGCCAGATTCACTTAGCAACGGGGTTACCAACTCATCTATTGTAACGA